TATTTCACCTACTGGAAGAAATCAAAGGATAAAAAATCAGAAAAAATCTCTTTGCAATTTGCTTACTAAGGAGGCAATATTGGGTATTTTATTCATTGTTGGAATTAATTTTGTTCTAGAGAGTTACAAATGGGGAAAATATGAAAACTGATTTTCAAAGTTTTCGTTGGTTTGGGTTGTTTTCAGTGTTACCAAGGTTTTAGATGAAGTATAATCCCCTAATGGGGAAAATGTTTTTTGTTTTTTTTTTACTTTTTAAAAACTTTATTAGACTTTTAAAACCTTCTTAAAATCTGCTATGTTTTAAATAATTTCAAAGTAGTATTTTTATAAGTTCTATTTTTGCCTTTTCAGTAGCTTTGATACTTTTCCCCTTTTAAAAAATGCTTATTTATTTTTGTGTTTAAAAAAAAAAATACACAGAATTTAAGCCACAGTTTTAAAAATCTCTGAGATAAAGCAATCTGGTTGCCAGGCAAAGCTCATCTATTCCTTCATACAGGATGATATACTCTCAGGTGTTTTTTAATTGCACACGTTCAGCAAGTAGAGAAACGACTCATGCTTAATTGGCATTAAATCCAGAATTCAGAATTTCATTAACTTAATTCTCTATCAATGGGAGGATAGGCTTTCACAGTTTTGCCTCTATCTTTCTACTCTGATTGTGGAGGGAAGCATACAGTACAATTTGAAAAGATGAACACTGAAGGAACTATTCATGTTTATTTGATATTGAAAATTATATAAGCAATAGAAATACTGAGTGGCTTATTTGATAATATGGCCTTTCTAGTTGTTAATGTAGATTTGTGTTCCTGAAGTATTCTCATTTCTTTTTCTGTTAGCTTGCTCAGAAAAATTATAATTACTAAAATCTTTATAAATTTCCTATGTCCTCAAAATGTTTTAGCTAAAATTATTTCCTTCAGTTCTTGTAAAGTAAAGCATTCCAATAAGAAAGAGATTATTTTGGAAAAAAAATCTTAACTGTCAGAAATGCTTTTGCCACGTATGTTAAACCACTAAAGTATTTGACAAGGATGTCTCACAATATCTCATAGCAGTTTCAAATAGGTCCATTTTTTATGGAAAGGCAAGAGGGATATGATTTACAAGAGAGATATGATTTCTGTATGAGACTACAAATGGCTTAAAAAGTTTGTCTTAAAGAAAGAAGGTAAAAGTCAGGGAGTTTGGAAGAGGCAACTAATGTAACTTTCTCACACTGCAGTTACAGGAAATTCTGTGCTGTCGAGGGAGGTCCTGTGATTTCAGACACAAAGGAAAATCAAAATGTGTTTAAAACAAATACCCTTTTTTCCTGCATGGAGACTATTTTTCTTTACTGGCCTAGCATGTTGTTCAACTTAATCACTCATGAGTACCAAAAAGCAGCACATAAGATTTGGCAGTGTTTTCATTGTCTCTTTCTGACATTAAATTCCCACCAGCAACTTCTGTTGTATGTACATTTTTTACTGACAATATTCTTAAGTGTTTGATGCATGTTGCATATGTGACTGTATTAAACAAGGCAGAATTAATGTACTGATCAAAAGATGACTCAGAAAATCATCTTTACATATAGCTGTGTGTGTACTTAGGTATGTCTGTATTTATGTTTCAAACATAAATTACTATTAAAATTTTGTTGCTTTAGTGCTAGGAATGTAAGATTTCTGGCTCTATTATCATTATTATAAGCATTGCAGGGTCTTTCAGTAATCTGTAATACTCAAGTACTAAGAAAAAAGGTAGATCTCTACTATATAACAGAGACTAGAAGAAGGCTTGATAAGCCTTATTGTCACTATTCAAAGCAATTCTATTTCCTTTTCTGCTATACCAGAGAGAGAAACTTTCCCTTCTAAGTACAGCAAGATTTAAGGCACTTTTATCAGCATGGTGTGCAGTTTCACAAATGCACACACGTGAAAATGTCACTTTCTGTATTAATTGCTTGTGTAAGAATCACTGGAGCTTTTTCCTCCTATCAGTGTTTTCCCTATTGGACCACCAGCTATTTTTAAAATTTTCTTTAATAATAACCTGAACTTTTTTGTGTCCCAAATCATCTTAAATATTTTGCTCTTATATCTTCTCATTTAGCAAGGCTAGTAGATCTGTGCCCTCTCTCTGACTTTGGGGCCTTCAGTGTCTTCAAAATTCAGTAATAACTTATGGATTTGGTATTGTTCCCTCAGGTTTTGAATTCTAGAGTCTGCTCTCTCCTCTGCCTGCTAATGCTTTCTTACCTCTCTTTTGGGGGATTTCCTTGAGATTAGTGCTTTGGGTGAGTCATAAAAGCCCTCTCACACATTAGTTCTTTTACCATGCATGGATCAAGGAAAATCAACAGATATTAAAGTAAATTCTTTAATGGAACAGGGATATTTGTGGTATTCAGCCCTTCTCTTTCCTCCAAGACAAAAAGTAGTGAAATATATGGATTCTTACAAAGCCCTGAAAATGCATGACAAAAGTTAAAATTATATGGGATTAGGAACCAAATGGTGAGGCAAATGCACCTGTGTCCAAAAGAAGGCCAAAAGGTTAACATGAAGAATACAGAGAATTTTGGCAGTCAACCAAAGATCAACCTGGAGAATTTCTGACAGTCTTACTTCAGCCTATAGGAAGAACTGTGGAGTAAATATAATATCTGGGAAAGGCAGCATGGATTTACCAAGGGTAAATTGTGCCTGACCAGTATGATCACCATCTGTGATATGTTATGAGAAGAACTTTAGCAGGGCTTTCCACATTTTCTCCTGTGGGATTCTCAAATTGAAGTTGGGACATTACTCTCTATGCAGGTGAACGTCTACATGATGTAAAGATGGTCAGCTAGAGCTAGTCAGACCCAGAAAGTTGTGGTTAATTAGTTGGTTATTATATGGTTAATGGTTGGTTATTATGTAGTTAATGGTTGGTTATTATGTAGTTATGTTGGTTATTAGTGTGGTTAATGTGCTTACCTGTTTGGAGGGTTGTAGCAAGTGTGGAACTGCTGTGCACTTGGACCTTCTTGATATTGTTATCAGGGACCTGGAGGAAATAAGGGAGCTGCACCAATGTGCAGAGAGCAAATTGGTAAGGATCAGTGCTTTTGGTAGTCAAGTCACCTTTTCAGCAGCCTGAACAGGCAGGATGAATGGGCTGACATGGACTTTGTTAAAGTGATTAAGGGCAAAAGACAAGTGCCAGCCTGGGGGTAGAAGAACCCCTGCATGGCACAGGTTTGGCATTGGCAAGCTGGGGGCAGGACTGCAGGGAGGGCCCTGGATTTTGATGTCTCAGGCAGCAAAGCTCCGTGGGCTGGGTGGACAAAAGAATGGCTAGTCAGTACAGAGAATGATTATTCTCCTCGGATTAGCACACATTAGACCATATTCATTTTTGGCCCACCTGTTACAACAAAGATATTGACAAACTGGAGTGAGTTTTGCTGAAGGCTGTTAAGGCAGACTCTAGAGCAGTCTTCAGTTCTGGTCCCAAGTTCGTCAGCATATAACACATTCCTCTTCATGCTTTGTCTCAGTTTCTTTTGTTGGTTTGATGCATCTCGCTGCTCATCTGCTATCAATATTTTATTGAAATGTCTTTGCCCCAACGTGTTCCATTTTTTTACTGCACCTTATAAAATCTCTTCTGCTTTAAAAACATTTATTTCAGCATGTGAAAAGGAATGCTGGAACTGTACACCAGGAGCATAACAATTACAAAGCAAAACAAAAAAAACCCACCTACATTCAGTCAATTTTTTCTGTAGTCATAGATGTCCAAACTCATATAGCTGACATTTTTCTGGAAATTAATTCTGCCTGAGGCAAATGTCCTGCCTGAGAAAAACTAACTCTAAACAGATAAAGCTTGCCCAGAGTTCCAAGAAACTGAGAAAAACATTTCAGAATATGAAGTGTTAATCAGTTTAATATAGGCAGGCCACGAGGTGTGGTTGGAATAACATATTTTTCTTCCATTTTTTGTTAATTGTAGTTATATACATGCATCAAAAGAAAATTGAAATAGATTGAATTTTTATATTGTAAACTTGCTGCAAGAGTATTTTATTGTTGATAAGCTTTTCTAATATTTAGGAAATAAAATGAAAGTTTGAGTTCTTTTGAGATACATTTTAAAGACACATGAGGATCTATCCTTACAATGTAGTGATACTATTTGGCATATTAGTTGAGTTACCTTCCTTAACTAATGAAACACTGTTCTTCCAACGTTAGGTTTTCTGTTTGATGCAGATTCTGAAACCGATCCTAGTTGTATAAGTATAGGAATTGAAAAATAGATTATACAAATCTCAAGGCTGAGTTGATGCTACTGTAAACTATTTCCATGTAGGACTTATTAAAGAAACAGTTTTGTCGAAATTTATTAGAGAAATAGAGTTATTAGAATTAAGTTTTGTAACTTAAGACTCTACCTATTTATGTGGGTTTTTTTTAACCAATTACCAATCTGATAAATAACCCTAGGGGTTTAGGAATGGTACTCCTCAGTTTGGGCCTCCCACTGAGACTCAAAACCACACTGCTGCGCTCCCCCCTTCCCCTCCCCTTCCCACTCCTTTGGAATGGAGTTGAGAATTGGAGGCACAAAAGCTGAAAATCATGGGTTGAGATAAGAATGATTTACTAGAAACAGCAATGAGACAGAGAAATGAACAGTAACAGCAGCACAAAGAATCAATTTACATGGAAAAGCTTGCAACAGGGAAAGCTAGTATCAGGCTCTTCCCCACAATGCTTTCTCTGCTGGAAGAAGAGCTCCTTACTCCTGCCCCTGGCAATGAGTGAGGTGGAGTGGAATAACTTCTGGGCCTTTCCACACACCTTTCCTGCTTACTGTGAAAAATTAACCCTGTCCTGGCTGAAACTAGGACGGGAAAAACACTTTATAGTAAAAATTGAGATGCTAAGGTTAATATTTTTATTTGTACTATTTATACACTGGTCTAAAATACTTTTCTTCATTTTAAGGTAACAGAGCTGCACAATATCAAAAACATAACCAGATTGCCTCGAGAGACAAAGAAGCATGCAGTGGCAATTATCTTTCACGATGAGACATCAAAGACATTTGCGTGTGAGTCAGGTAAGCAATTGCTGCTTCATCTCTAGCTTGAAGAAATCAAGTTACACATCAAAGTCTGACTCGGATGAATTAACTCACAATGCCAGTTAAAAACTCTAAGCTTAAAGAAATTTGTGGTAAACAAAAAACTTTGAAGTTTGGGGTTCAGGCCTTTTGGGGTTTGGTAGGGTTTTTTAAATATATTATGAGAGGTGTTAAGGTTGTTAACAGAGCTCTTTTTTCCATTATTTTTCTTTGCATGCAGATGGTCTAAAGACTGGAGGTTTCCAGCTAAACTTGTAAATCCTAGTAAAAAATAACCTGTAAGATGTTATTAAATCAAGATGTGAAACATTCTTTTTTTAACAAGATTTGCTATAGGCACTTACTAAACTAATAATTATCATGCCATTGCAAATAAGTGGCAAATACCAGCTAAAACCTCGGGATATTTTAAAGCAGGGTGTCAAGCAGTCTGTGGTTTGAATGACTCCATAGCATAATGACTAGACTAGCATAGAACATGAGTTGGGCATTAGAGTATACAATGGCAGGCAGTTAGTTGTGAGACACTGAGCACTGTAAAATTAAAGTGCACTATATTCTTGTCTGAAAGCACAGTTGTACACATCTGTGTCCTAGGGTATATTTTAACAGAAAAAAAAAGTTTTTAAAAATAGTGGGAAATTCTTTAATGATAAAGTTTGTGATTTTTTAGTGACATATTTGAAACTTTGAATTTAAAAGTTTGTATAGAGAGTACTATATATAAAAGTGTTGGTTTTGGTTTTTTTAAAATATATATGTAACATTATGTATGTATGGTGAAAGGCCTAGAAGAAAAGCCATGAGGAGTGACTGAAGTTACTTGGTGTGGAGAAGAAACTGGAGTCTACAACTTCCTTTTGAGGGGAAGAAGAGAGGAAGACACTGATCTCCTCTCTGTGGTGATCAGAGAGAGGACCCAGGGAATGGCCTGAAGTTGTGGCAGGGGAGGTTTAGGTGGGAATTAGGAAAAGGTTCTTCATCCTGAGGGTAGTTTAGCCCTGGAAAAAGCTCTGCAGGGAAGTGGTGACGGTGCCAGTCTGACAGAGTTCAAGAAGTATTTGAAAAATACTTTTGGGCACATGGTGTGACTTTTGGCACTGTCCTGCACAGGGCCAGAAATTGAACTCTCTGATCCTTGTGGATCCCTTTCAATTCTGGATATTCTGTGATTCTATATCAATATTATCATATAAACATTGCATCATGTACAGTGTAAATAATAAATTCAATGCAGTGAAACAAAATCTGAGAAAAGTGGAGGAAGTTAAACGTGTACAAGTTCATTAATTATGTAGCTTTTCGATCAAATATTGCAAATGGTCATATGTACATTCCATCATGAAAGATAGATTGACAGTGGTTTTGGTTAATTAATTTAAGTTTAAAGACACACATAGAAAATCTGTGTCTGTCTACAATTGGCTTAAGAGATCATTAGATAAGTAGTCCACATTTTGAATTCTAATATGTAGAGTTGATAGTGACTCTATATTATGATTAATAATTGAATGAAAGCATTTTCATTATATTCCAACAGCACTGAAGTCAGTTCTATAGAAACTTTTTCATATGCCTTTGCATGAAATCCTCTTCTTTCCTAGTGAGATCTTGTTGCTTCCCTAGAATTACTGTGGTTCAGGTATATTTGAAAAGAGTGACAGCAAATCATAACTTCAGAATTCTTTCACCAAAGAAGGGACAAACCTGTGGGAATCCAGGGCAATGGGAATATCCCCCTGTCTGCCCTGGGGTGTTTTGATAAAATAATAATTTAAAAAATAATTTTAAAATAATAATTTAAAATAATTTAAATAATTTAAAATAATAATTTAAAAATAATTTTTAAAATAATTTAAGTGTCACTTCTTAATTAGGTAGTTTCGCTTTTGATTAGACTTAAAAAGACCTTGTAGTATGAGTTTGTTAGCCATTTTTGTGCTGTTTTCACGCATGCAAGGTCTTGATAATTTAACAATTAACAGAAGCTGAAGACTGAAAAAGTCCAATGCATCTCTCGTTCCTGACACAGAACTGCTCCAGGAGAGTCTCCCCTACCAGGGGTGCCCCCAGAGAGTTACCCCACTTGGGGCCCATAAACTCACACAAACCTAAGTTCAGTATGTCTGGCCCACTCACCCTTTCTTCTTAACCTTGAACCCAGTTGTAAATACAAGGCACATGTAGTACCATAAGGTGCTAGCAGGGTGTCAGTATGAGCTGCTCTCCCTTTAAGCTCTATACAATGGTGTGTTTTGAGTGGGCAGGACCCTGGGTGAAGTGGCAAACAAGTGGAGAGCTTGCAGACAGAGAACAAAGTTCAGACCAAGATAAGTGATGTAGTAGGAGTCTGATCTAGACCGCATCAACAAGAGAAGGAAGATGGAGCAATCTCGGGGCAGGTGGAAAAAGCCTTATAGTTCCAGGCATTGGTATTCTTGGGTGACTTTAACCTCAGGAGTAACTACAGGAAGACTAATAAGGCTGAACACAAGCAATCCAGATTTCTGAAACAGATTGAAGACAATTTCTTGATACAGATGATCAATAGTGTGATGAGGGGAGATGTTTGTTCAGGGACATGCTTGGCAGGCTCCTGTGGATCCTTGAAGGGCAAAGGAGCCCAGGAGATCTATCTAATCTGTGAGGACAGTATCCTCTGAGCACAAGAACTGTTCTCCCCATACTCAGAAGACAAGCTTTACAGAAGAGGAGTATGACTCGCTCAAACACACACACAAAAAAAACCCTACAATGAAGCGGAAACTGACTACTTGGGAGGAATAAAGAGTCATTGTCTATTTACATAGGAATGGAGTTCAGCAAGCTCCAGCTAAGGGAAATGCAAGATAGAAAAGGTTTCTTAAAGTACATCAGGAGTAAAATAAAAGCTAAGTACGTGTGGCTCTATTGCTTGCTGGAACAGTTGACATATTGATAAGGGTCATGAGAAAGGCTAAGGTACCTTTTATACTGTGGTTTTCACTTGCAAGGCTTGTCCTCAGGCCTTCCAGGTCCCTGAGCCCTTGAACATGATGAAGTATCCCTGGCAAAGGAAGGCATGGTAAGGCATCACTTAAAACACTTGTATTTCCTACAAAAGTTAGTGGAGCTTGATTGTAAAGAATGAAAAGGAGCATCCAGATAACTGTACTTCAGTCAGCCTCACCTCAGTCCCTGAGAACACTGTTGGAGCAAATCACATGTAAGCACATGAAGGACAGCAAGGTGAATGGGAGTATAAAAAAAACCACTTCCCATATACAAATAATATTTTCCACAATAGGGCAAAAGAAAGGCAGTGATTCTTACATACCTTGATTGTAGTGGTCTTTGACACCCTCTGTAGCTTCCTCCATAGCCCCCAGAATTGGTGGGGCACAGAATGGATAAAGACACTATAAAGTGGACAGAAAATAGGCTGGACTTAAGAAACCAAGGCTGTGAAGCCAAGCTTGCAGCCAGGAGGTAGTGGATCCCTCAGTTCCATGCTGGGACCAATATCATTCAATGGCTTCACTGACAATCTGCATGATGAGGTGAAGGGTACTCTCAGCTGGTTTGCAGGTGACACCAGGCAGAAAGGAAGGGCTGCTGTCAGAGGGACCTGGACAGGCTGGAGAAATGGCTTACATAAACTTTATGAAGGCTTACATAAATCTTATGAAACTCAGCAAGAACAGAAGCTCTTTGCCCTGGCTTGTGGTAATCCCAGCCACAAGGCAGGCTTGGTGCCAGCTGTTGGGAAGCAGCTCTGCAGAAAAGACTCTGGGGTCATGGTGCACAACATGCCCTGGACAGCAGTAGTAAGGGTCTTCACAGCAGGTGAAAGGTTCACAGAATGTGACCCTCCCCTTTTACTCAGCACTTGTAGGACCACATCTGGACTGCCATGTCCAGTTTTGTGCACTCAGCACAATACTGACATACAGGAATGAACCCAGGGGAGGGCACCAAGAGCATAGGACATGTGAAGAGGGCATATTCAGCCCGGAGAAAAAAATACTTCAGGGGATCTTATTGCTTATGTGATCTGAGAATACAGAGAAGATTGAGCTATAAAAGCATTAGATACCTTGCTGTTTCTGAATGACTACAAATCTTGGCTGTGAGCATAGTGGAGTTTCAATCAGTTTGTCTTTCTCCATGCCTTCAGTCTGTCTAAGCAGCATAGACTGCATCACATGTATCAGATGAGAAAGATGCACCGTTTTGTTTCACTAAAATCTGACTCTCTTTAACTCCAAATTTTTTGTTTTCTGAACTAGGAAGATACAGTCCAAAAAAATTTAATTCCCCAAGGCATTTCCACAGTGAATTCTGTCTTCTCACAAGGAACTGTTACCATTTTTAATGCTTTGAAATGTGCCAAGTACTTGGATTTCCTGTATGAAACTTAACAAAATTTAAAGAATATTTTAAGAAATTGCTTCTTATTTAAAATGGATTCTTTTTATTCTCTTGTTTAGTGGCACTGGTTTATGTGGAAAAATGCATACTTTTACAGCCTCATGGTGTATAGTAATGTACACACAATGATGTTTATTTTGGCAAATCTTCTTGCTACTTCTTTGGTTAACACAATAACTTTACTAATCCTGCTTCTTTCCAGTGGCTTCAGTGTCAAAAAACACTCAAATGGTTTTCACTCAAGGCAAAAACTTTCTAGACTCATAACTGCTTGACCTTGAATTTTTTAGGACTCCAGAGTTTCATAATGTGGACATTTTTCTACCATGAAGCCTCTGAATAGACAGAAGCAGATACCTTGTTTATTATCATCTTGACTTCTAGAGGCAGATGGAAGGAAAGTAACATTAAATCCATTGCAAAAGGTCTGCTGAGCATAGAGACAACAATTTTTTGGAGACAAGGAGAAAGGAATACTCAAAGCTGAGTTGATTTTAGGGACTGAACAATGTGAGGTAGGGGTTTTGTCAGTGTTCTACCAGAAAATGATTTTAAATAATGGTATA